GGGAGGAAGGAAGGAAGGAAGGATGGATGGATGGGAAATTGCAGTGTACCAGCAGCAATTACATACAGAGACAATTATATTTGTAAAACTAAATAATGAATAGTTTTTTCCATAGCCACATAGAGTACATCGTACTAAAAAAAAGAATTATATTATTATTAATTACTTACAGCTGACAAAATATAATTTCATTTTTTTTCTCACCTCTTATTCCAGTTTTTTGAACACTTATTTACCATACTTATACTAGATTATTGGGACTATCTATGTCAGGGGTGCCCAATAAGTAGATCAGGATCTACTGGTAAATCGCATAGGGAGTGCTGGTGCGTCATGAGAAATTAAAATGAAAATTTTAAAAACGAGAAAGAAATAATAATATAATTTTATATGAGTGTGTAGTAGTGATCATATATTGTAAGAATTGAATCATATTGTGCCGTACAGCTACATGACATAATCAGTGACCTAACAATAAGGTACTGTATATATACAGTATGCTCAGTTTGTGTGAATATACAGTATATATATATATACATATATATATATATATTTATATAGTTTTCAATGTGTGTAGATTACTTGAAAAAAGTATACATTCCCCTGCTCTAAGTTAACTAAAGGTACAGTATAAATGTGTGTTTGAACAGTTGTCAGTGTCCCACTACAGGACATGTTGATCAGGCAAAAACATGAACCATTCTTCTAAACAATAACGCCTCTTTAGACTGTCATTCTCAGGTCAAGTCTGGATAACAACAATCTAACTGCGTTTAGCACAGGAGGCTCTGATCATGGAGCACGGCTGCTCCTGCTGCGACAGCCGGCAGCAGTGAGATCGGCGCTGCCGGAAGCATGTGGTCTGAGATGGCTCCATGTACGACTCTGTTCTGGTGCTAAATATACAATAATAAAAAGGCTGGAAGATCATTTGTGACTGAGCTACGTTTCCTCTCCCGCAAGCAGAAGACAGGACCAAGGATGAGACAGACGTCTCCAGATCACCGGGGGACATTAAGCGATAATTACAGAGAAAGATGAGGTTGTTCCCTCTTATGCCTCTCTCTTCCTCTTCCTCGTACTCTGCCACCACAGAGGAAAGTGGCGTCTCTAGAGCGAAGAGGGGCGCCTGCTGTATTAGACTCCCAATGATTGGCTATGATTGCATTGTCTGATCCCATAAGGGATAAAAGGACAGCAGCACACACTCTCTTACCACATGCCTGTGTTTCATTGCTCGGTGAAGACTGCCTTCTCAGAACTCATAAATGGCTTTTTTTTTTTGGAAACATCCTCAGAAATGAAGTCCTAAAAAGAAAGCAAGATTCAAGCGCCAACTTTCTTTATCTCTTTGATATTCTCTCTCTCTCTCTCTTTCTGACACACAGACGCACACTCATACTCCCCTATGTACTTGACTTCACCACCAGTCCACCACACTTCTCCGCAGCTCTTTGATCCCCGGTCGAGGGTCCTCTCCGCGGTGCCTCTGTCTGAATTCCAAAGATTCTAGGATAATTCAAACGTTTCACGGCACATACTTGGTCCCCCCAGGAGACAGCGGTAGAGATGGAAAATGCCACCATCGTCCCAAGCTCTCTCTCCCTCCATTGTCCCTACTCTTTAATCAGGCCCTCTCTGTGGCTCACGCTGCCACCGTGGTGTGTTGTCCCAGCCTGGGAAAATGCCGGCCTAAGTGGCTGTTATGTGCTGAGGCGCAGACCACAGGGACCCAGAGGGGTGCTGCTGGAGCCCACTGTGCCAGCCGCGGGTCTCACAGTGGCTAACACACACAATGAGTGAGGTCTCAAATCTGGAGGCAGCCTCACACGAGTGCCAGTGCTACATCTATTTACTTGAGCGTTCGTCCGTAAATCATACATCATAATAGTTGTGGGCGTTTGCCATACCCAAATGGTAAATCAAGACAATTATTTATTCCGGAATGGTTGCTGGGTGTAAACGGACATAAAACTGCCATACAGATAGGGCATGATTGCAGAAACACCGGTGAGAGCGCTCGGCTGTAGAAGGTCTGCGGGGAGGGAGTTTCCTGCCCTTGTGTCAACACATGACCAAACCGAAGGCTCTAAGATTCCCTGAGTCAGAGGCAGGACTAGGTCAGGAACCAGCAGCACCTCACTGTTGAACCCGTTTAATTTTCGAGACTTGTGTTATGCTCGGGCAGGAGGGTCATCCAACGGTTGGCCTGCCGCTCAGATGCACACAACACTTCTTCAGGTCAAGTTTACAGAAACTGAATTAAAATCCTACTAGTTTATACTGGTTTATAGTTAGTGCTTACAAGCACGGACTGAGTTTTTATGATGTGTCATAAATTTCATTTTCAAAAGAGGGTGAGTATGGAGGCTGATGTACGCCTACTCTGTGGTTTCTCCAGGCCACCACGAAGCCTTTGTATTCACTCTGTTTGCCATGGGAAAATATCTGAAACAAATAAGTTGCCTGGTCGGCACCCATCATTGTAAAAAACACTTCTAAGAACTGTGGATTGCGCTGAGCGGGTGTGGCGCAGTGCTTAAGGAACTACTTGTTTACTCTTACTGTGTCAAGAAATAGAAAAACGAACTATTTTCTCTCCAAGATGGAAAGCGAATAAACAAGTATTCTTGAGCAGACATTGTGGGCAGGCGCAAGCCGCCTGTGGTTGTGCAGCAACATGGTGAACTTGGTATGAGCATGAGTGTGGCACGTTGAGGTCGTTCCCCCAAAACATCGTCACAATCACCATCATTATCATCAGTCTCACTACTGATAAGCTTTGTAAAGAGGAAAGACATGCCTATCTTTGTGTGGTAAATTTAAAAAAAATAATATGAGACAAGATGATATGGGATAGGATTCACGATATCAGGTTTTAATGTATTGATGTTCATTGTATTTTTAATAATATATCAACTTCCAGAAGAAATCCAAAAGACTGCAGGCCACATGAAGAAAAATGTAGGTCAGCAACAGAAAGGCTAAAGCAAGGACTGTAATAACTGAAGAAAATTTGCTATCTCACATTTTTATATCTGGGCTTATTTAATCAAGTTTTGTAAATATTTAAATGGATTTATTCACAATCCATTCCCTTTACTAACTTTTTTATGTAGTATTATTATCAAAATAGTAGTAAATTATTATTATTATTAGAAGTACTAGTAGTAGTAGTAGTAGTAGTAGTAGTAGTAATAATAATAATAACAATAATATTATAAGAATTTCCCTCAGCGGATGAATATGCTAATTTCTCACTCTGTTTCCTTTCTGCTGATTGGGCAAAGTCTTGACGTCACTGTTTCTGGAACGCATTTTTATATCTGGGCTTATTCAGTCAAGTTTTGTAAATATTTAAATGGATTTATTCACAATCCATTCCCTTTACTAACTTTTTTATGTAGTATTATTATCAAAATAGTAGTAAATTATTATTATTATTAGAAGTACTAGTAGTAGTAGTAGTATTAGTAGTAGTAATAATAATAATAACAATAATATTATAAGAATTTCCCTCAGCGGATGAATATGCTAATTTCTCACTCTGATTCCTTTCTGCTGATTGGGCAAAGTCTTGACGTCACTGTTTCTGGAACGGAAGTAGATGCGATGGCTCTGAAGAATCCAGGATTGTAATTCTTGCTATTGTCAGTTTTTGGTATTTTAAATATACCTGTGCAACAGGTATACTCATAATTTCACAGGTGAGGACCAACATGTTACGGGTAATTTCAGTTGTTTTTTAAACATCCCAATCTGTGCATTTTCAGCTGTTTTCTCAAAATGTCGCTAACGATTCGGTGCTAGCAAAGCAGCTAACGTACAGCCACAACAGAGATTTGTCGGGATTTAAAATCCTCATGTTTCTGTTTCTACACACAGTTTTTCTGTGTTCAGTATCTGCGTATAAAGGACACGATATGGTTCACGGCGTTAAACGTAGATTTAAAGAAAATTACGGCGTTTCGTAGCGGTTTGTCGAAACAATGTTGTAATATTCAACAGTTCAATACATGCAGTAACTGTCATTCACTCCTGTCTTGATTTTAACCACAAATGAGACCATTTGTTTTTTGTTTATATAAAACCTTATATTTATTTTTTCAAATAGAACTGTTTTATTTAGTTTCCTCACATAGCATAAATGGTTTCGGCATCACTTAAAACGAACAAGTTTGACAGAATCGCTGCCTGGCGACAGTAATTTGCTGTTGTTGAACAGTCTATGTGTCATTGTTTCCAGGGTTGTTCATATTTACATAATGACATGCTATATTTACATAATGAAATACGTGTAAGAAAGCTAACTAGGTTTTAGGTTTGATAAAGCCATTAGGAAAATGTTAGTAGACGTTGTGTCATGTAGGAAGTAGCATGATTTCCAATATCCTTTACACACTTTTATATTCAGATTTGCAAAATTGGACAATAACTGCGAGAGCCAGTCGACCTTATTTTTTTTTAAAAAGTGTATTAAAAATGTATGTCAAATTGTAAGCCAATTGGACTGATCATATATATTTTGCTTTCTAGACATGGAAGTCCCCTGTTATCTACCAAAGCTGATGTTCGAACTAAATGAGCAGCGAAAGAGAGACTTCTTTTGTGACTGCAGCATCCTTGTGGAGGGAAGAGTCTTCAAAGCCCACCGTAATGTGCTGTTTGCTGGGAGTGGCTACTTCAGGGCTTTGTTGGTTCACTATTTGCAGGTAAATACCTTCAGGACATTTACTGATGTTATAAATGCCACTAAAAGGTAATAATAAAAATACATTGTCATACTCTGCTGACCGATAAATACAGAAATTGTCCTGATTTTGGCTGTTTTATTCCCTCTTAGGACAGTGGTCAACGTTACAGCACAGCATCACTGGACATAGTAACTGCTGATGCCTTCTCAATCATCCTGGACTTTTTGTACTCGGGTCGATTGGCCCTGAACAGGAGCAATGTCATTGAGGTGATGTCTGCTGCCAGCTACCTGCAGATGACTGACTTGGTAAACTTCTGTAAAGAATACATCCGATCGTCTTTGGAAATCTGCAACAAGGACAAGGAAAGAAACGGGGAGAAAAAAGAACAGACACAGAACGGAGGGATGTGCCCTGCAGATAGTGGCACTGCAGCTGCAGCAGTCACCAGTGGTGAAGAAACCACTGAGCCTCATTCAGAGGTGGCTGAGGCAGAAAGAGGGGCAGGTTTGGGGACAGAGTCAGTGACCTCACCTAGAACCCCCTTGTCAATCCCTGTTAATACTTCCCCTGGAACTAGCAGGGACATGGACAGTGATTATCATTCCAGGGAGGAGTTCACAGCTGGGAGTGAAACACAGAAAGGACACATGGATCAGACCAACCTCTCATCCTCTTCATCTTCTGCTTTGACTCCAGAGTTAGTCAATCCCAAGATAGAATATGACCATGACGAAGAACTCATGGCATCTCCTGACACAAAAGAGCTTTCCACTTTCCACCCTGGGACAGCTCTGCATAATCCTCATCATAACAGGCTTCTTCCCAGTATGCACCCCTCCTTGGGATACAGCTCTTCTTTTAATGCAAGACAGGTGATGGAACTGCTGGCAAGAGGCGAAGGTCCTTTGGGAGAACGAGCAGGACAGCGGTTCTCTCAAGGACTGGGAAACAGCACAGGAGGAGTCCGAATGGACGAAAGTTTAGCTTTTGTGGGATCGTCTATCATGGAGATCCAGACCGATTGGCTTGGAGAGGATGCAGGTAACTAACCATATCATCCATGCTGAATAATCACGGCTGTACTTGCTTAATTTGTGCTAGACCACATAGTAGATAGTGGTTAGTGCTTTTGCCTTACAGCGGTGCAGCCCCTTTATTGGACAAACTCTGTTTGACTATTCTGTGTATACTTTTTCTGTTTACCATCTACTCTTCTATTCTTCCTGCAGCTCGAAATATGCGAATTGTTGTTAATCTTCAATTTTTTTCCCCACACTCTCTCTCCTAATTGTATCAATTTTCAGAGAATGGATTGGAGTCTGAAGTAATTGAAAAAACATTTTGCACTATTGTTCTATACATTTGAATTTTTACACTTAGCCTCTTTCTCCCCCTGCAGGCGATGGCTTAGTAGTGCCAGTGAAACTCCACAAGTGTCCATTTTGCCCCTACACAGCCAAGCAGAAGGGCATAATGAAAAGGCACATCCGTTGTCACACGGGAGAGAGGCCCTTCCCCTGTCACTTGTGTGGCAAGAGGTTCACACGGCAGGAGCACCTTCGCAGCCATGCCCTCAGTGTAAGAACCCAGTGTGGATTATTTTTAATAGTCTGCACTATTGTACTCATACCCTTAGTACAACTCGTATAGACCAAAATTATTCTAATATTCTATATTTTTTTATCTAATATTGCCTTTGGCATTTTATTTTCTTCGTACACTTACGATAACCTAAGGGTCTAAGACATTCACTTCTCAGTGATGTCTCAACATATCACACCAACCTGTGTTGTCTTTATCTGTTTGTCAGTGTAAATATAATAAGACTTTAATGTACAGTTGTAAACAGTTGAAGGATTGGAGCAAGATTGGAGAAAAAAACCTTAAATCGTTTTTTGCTTCTTTACGGTAGCTTTTCTTTAAATTGTAACTGGCCCGATAGAGTCTTTCTTTAGTAGTTTTTGTCTGACCACATTCTTCCACTCACGGAACCACACTAATCCTTTTACAGTTGGATGATCACTCCAAAGTTTCCATAAATTGTTTTCATAGCCTTTGGAAAATGCTCTTCATTGTTTTTTGTCTTTGAAAATCTTGAAGAAAAAAAAAAACATATCCCAGTGAGTAGTTTTTTTCCCTCATTTTGAAAAACTTACTACTACCTCTTAGATCCATGTTGGTAAAAAGACTAGTATCTTTTTAGAGGTTTTTCAGCATTTCAGAGTGAAATAGTTTTTTAACACACTTGTCTTCCTCATTTTCTAACATCACCAGGTTCACAGGCACTACTGGCCCGTCTCGTGTAAGAGCTGCAGGCGATCTTTCACTGGGTCCAACGTTTCGCCAGGACTCAGACGCTTCGGTATCTGTGACAGCTGCAATTGCGTGACCACTACTCATGATGACACTGCTCCTGTGCACGCAGCTAGCCAACCAGAGGCCCTTGAGCGGGCGGATGGGTCCACAGATTGGTCCAGTTTTATGGATGACGTGGATGAAGTTGAGGTGGGCAGAGTGGAGGACTTGGTGGAGAAACAGATGCTTGAAAGGCAGCTCACTGTCTGCACTGATGTGGGTCACACAGTATGAACGCTGACTCAACTGTACTCTGAGAACAGACAAAAAGCACCACTTCAACACTGAAGTTTTCTGCTTTGCTGCTGTACACAGTGGTCAAACCACAGCTGTAGCTATTTAATAATTATTGAATGATAGGCCTATTTATTGATATGCAACCATGTTATTTTATCTTCACATTTGAAGATATTGTGCGTCAACCTTTTAATTCAGAAATCAATATTGACGTTTTTGCGAATGTCTTAAAATTCCCTGCTCATGTGTCACGCAAATGTACAGATTCGCCGGAATGCTGAACATAAAGACAAAGTTGCTGTAAAAACTTCAGTTTTATGGAATATTTACTACCAAGTAGCTGATAGATAAAAGTCTGCAGCATGTTTTGCAATGGAGTCCAGAGTAATATCCTCAGTAAAATGGTTGGTTTTTTGTGAAGCCACAGTTGGTGTTTTAGCATTCAAGTTGTGGTGCAAGTGTGGACAAATCTGTGCTTAAGGCGGCAGAATAGCCAAAAGTGAGCAGTGACCACACACCGCAGAGGTTGAATTCCTGGGTTTGACCACTCACCATAAAACGTGAGGAAGTCTCTCTGGTTGTAGTATTACTATAATGTAGAGATTCTACAGTAGAGCCCACTGGGGCAAACTGTTTGTGTTGAAATGATTAGAGTTGAAATTGAAATACCACTCACACCTACTGAACTTTGCATCCAGAGACATATTGATTTGCCTGCTGCTCTGCTTTCTGTTGGTACTCCCAACATAATTTAGGCTAGTGTTTCTCAACCTTTTTTAAGCCCTGTGCGTATACATTACATTAGTGAAATCCCATGGAGCACCACAAAGCAAAATGTCCAAAAGTCTACATAATGAAATATATAATGATCTTCTAGTTTTAATTTACTCCCTCATTTATGGATTACTTACTCAGTGTGAAACCTGTACCTGTTTAGTTGAAATATACAGTATACTTTCACAAAGGTCTTCATCATGAAGACATTCTTCCAGCAGCTCAGTCTAGTTAAAAACGTGTTTAATAGCCTGCTGCCACCTAGTGGACGAGTATTCGTTCTGCCTGTCAAGTAACGAGTAACAATTTCTGCTGACCCCAAGAATGCTGATGGAAGGACTCATGTTTTATACAACTATACTAGACAATATTACAAGTGTAGTTCAAAGTGTAAACCCTGTATCAATATACAGTACTAGAAAACTGAGACACAACAAGTTGCATTCAAACCTGGTGTATGACCAGTTCATTCATTGTCTTGTTGTTTACCTCCTTTGGTTATTTTAACTAGGATCATGTCAGCCCTCTCACCTGTTTGTTTGCAGTTGTTTTATTAGGGAATGGGAATGTTACCTGTGAATGTGTTCAACAGGGAGATCCTGGAACTCCTGGTGCTGTTGGTATAAGAGGAATTGTTTAAAAAGTTTTGAAATTCAAATGCTTTGTCAGCATTTATAGAAACTGCA